CCCCAAAACCCCAAAACCCCAAAACCCCAAAACCCCAAAACCCCTCAAGTGAAGTATATAATTGAAATAATATTGTTAAAGATGAATAATTATTAAATTATTTTTGACAGGTAAGTTTTCAAAGCTATTCAAACTCTTGTGCATGCCTTATGTACAACCAATTAAGCTAATCAATCTGGAATTCATAAATACATAGGAACCTGCATGTCCGATAGAGGAAGAAAACTTGATCCCAGTCATAATAAAAGGTATGCAATTGGCTTTGGAAATCAAGGCAAGACTTCTTTTGTTCATAATTGTCAAGAAATTTCACCTTGTTTTGAACCTAAGCTGGTAAAATTTTGTGTAAACCAGCTTGGCTGAGCTAGACTAGTACTTTAGCCTGCAAATTGGCTGATTCCTATTACATTACAGGTTCGTCACATTATTCTTATAGGAATAAGATGGGTCCAAAGAAAGGAAATCCTGAAAAATTACAAGGTGAGCACCCTTTATAGAAAATTTTTCTTTCAAGCTTATGAAATTTTGACATGTTTTCAACTGAAACTCTCTAGCTAGAGGAAGGAGATCTCCAAATAACAATAATGACAGGAAGGGCCGAGGTAGGTCATTTAGCTCACAAATTATAGGAAGTGCAGACCAAGGCTTTGGTAGGACAAACTTAAATTCATCTTTACCAATTTTAGCTGAGGAAGAAATTTCAAATGCTCTCGAGAGCATGAGACATGTCCCTGAGTCAGAATTGTCGCCCAAAAAGTATCTCACAGAAGACCCTGATGATACTAACGATATCCAATATCTCAAAGAAGAATATGAGGAATTCAAATCATTGAAGAATATCTTTGTCAATAGGAAACAGTTTATTCATTTGGCTAAAATAAACAGCCCTGCTTACAAGATTAGAATGAAGGAAATAGAGCGAGAGAAAATTAAAAACTCAAAATCTGTAAGAATTTTTAATTAAATTTCATAGAAGTTTAAGAAAGCCAGCGTAATAGGAGTTCAAAAAGACTCTTCTTATAATAAAGGCATAGATACAGCTACTGACAAAGCCATGGACCGAAGCACTATCAACGATGACAATGCTACAGTTGGAGATATAGAAAGTTCTGAAGATATCGACCCAAGAATTTTTAAAGTTCATGGAAAGACTTTCAGATTTTGAAGAACGTCGCTTAACTGTCTTGACAATAAGAATCCTCTGAGAAAAATATGAGTATGGATAAATTGCTGGTTCTGGTTTGATACCTTCATTATATCATCTATCATTCTCAATTCTTTGCTACTTGGAATAATGGATTATACTGATAAAGATAACATATCGTGGAGAAATAAGATGGTTGAGTATACAGAGCCATTCTTCACAATAATTTTCACACTCGAATGTCTCATTAGAATCACAGGAACTGGGCTAATCATTGGTCAAGGGACTTACCTCTCAGATCCATGGAACTGGATTGACTTTCTTGTAGTTCTTAGTGGATTATTATCATCATTTCCTCAAATGGCGAATGTTAGTGGGCTTCGGACCTTTAGACTTTTCAGGCCTTTGAAATCCTTGACAACTTTGCCAAATATCAAGATTTTGATTCAAACATTGCTTGCATCTGTGTCACAGCTAGGAGGTGTCCTGAGTCTTGCTCTCTTCTTTTTCCTGATCTTTGCTATATTAGGGGTAAATCTGTTCACAGGGCTTTCTCATTACAGGTGAAGAGAGACCAAGTATCCTGTGAATAGAGATTGGATCGCCATTGCAAACGATACCAGAATTTGAGGGGAACGAAAATGCCCAGTCGGAACTTGTGGATCCCTCGTAGAGGCTACTGATAAATTTCATAATGTCAGTGTTAATAATATCTACAGAGACTCTGATATCCAGGAGCTAAATTATGGGCTTACAAATTTTGATAACATTTTCAACGCTTTTCTAACAATTTTCCAGTGTATCACTCTCGAAGGATGGACAGATATAATGTACATGATGCAGGATGCCTATACCAAATACATCACAAGCTTGTATTTTGTCTTAGCAGTTGTGGTTTGAGCATTCTTCCTGATCAACCTGACGATAGCTATCATGCTCAAAAACTATGATGAGCTTGATAAAAATGAAAAGAATACTACTCATCAAGCCTCTTTGATAGAGATAGGGATGAAAACCAAGCTTCCTAGCAAGCTAATTTATTTTATTGTTAGAGAAGAGAATCTTATAGTCAGTAAGAAAGCTAACCGGAGGCTTAAAGATCAAGGAGAACATCAAGGTCTTAAAACTCAAATAATCACAAGTTTTCTCTACTCTGATGTGAAAATTCCTGATGACAATTATTACAAGTGGAAGATTACTAGATTTTTTTATTTTATTGTGACAGTTCCTTTCTTTGGGACATTCATTCTGTTCTGTATTTTATTTAACACTATTTTCCTATCTCTGGAAAGGTACCCGATGCCTGAGGGAGAGAAGGAAGCTTATAATCGAGCAAACTACTTCTTCTCGGCTATATTTGCAATCGAGGTTATTCTGAAGATCATTGGACAATCTCCAAAGAAATTCATTGGAGACTATTTCAACATATTCGATTCAGTCATTGTCCTTGTCTCCATCCTCGAAGTCTTTGTTAGTAGTGGAAGTGGCGGTGGAGTTAGTGCTCTCAGAGCATTTAGGCTATTCAGAATCTTCAAATTATTCCGAACTGGCAATCTCAGAGTCCTGCTTGACTCTATAGCCTACACTATGGGTACTATCGGAAATTATGTAATCCTTCTTGGATTATTTATATATGTATATTCTCTTCTAGGAATGCAATTCTTCGCTGGGAACCTAAAATTTGATGAAGATGGCTTCTATGACCCCAACGGTGAAGTTTCTCGTGCAAATTTTGATACTCTCTACTGGGCTGCAATCACAGTTTTTATGGTCCTTATTGGAGACAACTGGAATGTAGTAATGTTTGATTGAATTAAAGCTACTGGAAGATTAAGTACAATCTACTTCATCTCTCTGATCCTATTCGGTACAATTATCATGCTGAATCTCTTCTTAGCAATCTTACTAGGAAACTTCGATAAAGCAAGAACATTCTGGCTGAAGAAAAGCATCTTTGAGATGTTCGAAACAGCTATTGAGAAAAAGTATTCCCTCAGCAAAGCTATCAGTATTATCCTCGGAGAAGTGAACAAGTCTGTCAAAGAAGAGCTCCTGATTCACAACGAAAGAGATATTTTCAAACTCAACGGCAGACTAATGATCATCAATAGAGAATTAATGGAAAATGATCCTGAAGAAATTGAAAAATTAGCATATTATGATCGCCTCTGCACTTACGAAACTGATTACAAACCTATCATCGAAGTGTACTCAGAAGAAGACAAAGAAGGTAACATTTAGCTCAATTCTGTATAGAAATTGAAGAGAAAATGGAGTCTGAAAACTTCTCAAAACACAAAAAGAGTGACCACCATAATGACCTTGAGCAGATCGAAGAAGAGGATGAATACAAGGAAAACCTCAACGAGTCTAAAGAAGGACTTGTTTCTCAAAAGAAGAATTCCCAAACCGTGCTTATAAGGTAGGTTTGCAAATGTTCACTATTGTAGCCGTCCTGAGGAAGAAATTGCAATCAAAATTCGCTCACCAGATAAAAAGCAGAAATATCAGGATAGTTCAGTTACTAACCAACTTCAAGTCGATGATGGCCAAGAAGAAATGGTATTTTCCGACAAATATATTTAGAAATTCATCACATTAGAGACTCCAAGAGAGAAAGTTAATGATCTGGAAGAAAACTCTAAAGAAAACTCAAAGTTACTAGAAAACAGAAAAATCAAGAAATCTACCACATTCGATCTCAGAGATCAGCACAGACAAGAGGAGGAAGAAGAATCAGAAGAGCACAATCTTTCAAGCCCAGAAGAAGAGAATGTCCCTGATGAATTTCATGACCATCCAGATGAAGAAGTGGACAAAGCGGAAAATCACATTCTTGTGTCAAATAATGAAAAACCACTCTGGAAAAAGGTTCTCACTCATATGGCTAACTCTTCTCTCTTCATATTCCATAAAGATTGGAGATTTAGGAAATTCTTAATAGACTTGGTTGTTTCTCCTGAGAATATATTAGAGTATGATAATAAGAAGCGGGAAGAAGCAATGTTTAACTCAAACCCTGATAACAAGAACGAAAACTTCAATAAAGTAGAAATTTCTTGCTAAATATTTTAGGATTTTGAACCCCAAAATACTTTAAGGGACCAGCCCTCTTTCACCAAGCAGCAATCAATGAGATTCCAAGTTGATTATGTAAGTACCGGAGTAACAGTTCAGGATAAGTCCTTTAAGAGATCAAAGACAGGATACCAAACAAATGATGATTTTTATGCAAAGTAAGTCCCTAGTTATATCCCTAGTGCCAACCTTGCTAGAACAGATGCTAAAGAGATCGCTGAGAATGGCACCAAAAAGAGGTAAGACATAACCAGAGGTTAAGAACAATAATCTTTAGATGATGCCAGTGCAATCTTCACCCATCGAAATACTTTGATTATACTATCATCTTCCTTATTCTCATCAGTAGTCTCCTGTTAATCGGTAAGGTCTAGGATAACACTAAATAGCTGACAATCCTCTGAATGATCCTCAATCAGAATGGTCAAGAGTTCTTGGCATAATAGATATTGTATTCTCTCTTTTGTTCTTCTGTGAAGCCATGATCAAAATAATTGCTCTCGGGTTCATACATTCAAGCATCAAAGCTTCTCCATATATTACCAATGGATGGAACATTCTGGACTTTGTAGTTGTCTCTGCTTCAATTCTCGATCTAATAGTGTTAATCCAAGATACCGATTCCGTTGACACAGAGCAATTGAAGTCATTAAAAGCGCTTAGAGCTCTCCGAGCTCTGAGACCCTTAAGAATGATTTCAAGAAATGAAGGAATGAGGCTTGTAGTCAATGCCTTATTCGCATCGATTCCCTCTATGACAAACGTGTTGATAGTCTGTCTTCTGTTTATTCTAATCTTTGCGAGTACAGGAATTTCATTCTTTGCTGGAAAATTCTATTACTGTGCCTTTAATGCCTACAGTAATACCAACACCACAGCTGTAGATATTAATACGATTAATGACAAGGAAGATTGTATTGAAGCAGGGGGCAACTGGGAGAACAGAGACAGTAACTTTGATAATATATTCACAGCCAGTCTCACTCTCTTCGAGATGATGACCACTGAGGGTTGGCTCGATGTGATGTACAGCGGCATTGATGCTAAAGGAATTGATTTACAACCCAAAAAGAACTCAAATGTGATCCTCGCTTTGTTCTTCATTGCCTTTATGGTCGTTGGAAGTATGCTCATCTTTAACCTGTTTGTGGGTGTAGTCATCGACAACTTCAATAAAATCAAAACTAATGAAGAGCTAGGAAATATGTTCGTGACAGAATCTCAGAAGAAGTGGATAGAAATCCAAAGAATTATAATGCGGAAGAAATTAAAACTGCAAGAGCAGAAACCCACCAAAGGTTTTCGCCTAAAATGTCTTAATTTTGCTAAAAGTAAAGGCTTTGAGTGGTTTATTACTTGCTGAATCCTTTCAAATACTTTGATAATGTCTCTAAAATACTCAAGAATGGATGAAACATATGAAAAGACTTTAGAATATTTTAACTATGGATTTGCAGCCATTTTTAACTTTGAAGCAATAGTGAAGATTACAGGATACGGAAAGTCTTACTTCTACTACTCCTGGAACAAATTTGATGTTTCCATCGTGGTTGGAACAGACATTGGACTTTTGATGAATGTTATTAACACTGGAATAAACATCTCAACAGTTGCTACAGTTGTGAGAGCCTTTAGGATCATGAGAATTTTCAGACTTGTCAAAAGTTCTCAAAATATGGCAATTATTCTTGACACTATAGGGTACATCATGCCTCAAGTCACCAATATTATGTCCCTAGTATTTTTGCTGTTATTCATCTATGCTGTGCTCGGGCTGAACCTTTTTGCAACAGTTATGTACCAAGATTTCTACAATGAACGAGCAAACTTCCGATCTCTTTTTGATTCAATCCTACTTCTTCTCAGATGTCTTACAGGAGAAAATTGGAACTTAATAATGAAGGAACTTGCTCTGAAAGGAGAATACAATGGAATTGAATGCAAGGATAACCAAACTTACCAAGAAATGCAAGATGAAGGTGTCCTTGGATGTGGAAATGAGATTGCTTACATCTATTTTATTACCTACATGATCCTTCTAAGCATGGTTATCATGAATCTCTCAGTTGCTGCTGTCATTGAAGGTCTAGCAGAAGCAAGTAAAGAGAACATGGGGATTGTTAGTGGAGACCAAATTGAGTTTCTTATTGAGAAATGGAAAGATTACGACACCAATGCCTCTGGCCTTATTTCGTATCAAGACTTTCTTTTCTTATTATATGAAGTGCCACCTCCTCTTGGACTTGGAAAGTTCACAACTTACTACTCTGACGTAAGAGACGACAATGAATTAGGCAACCAGGCGATGGAGGAGGAAGATAAGAAAGATGATCATAAGAACATGAATAATCTCGGTCTCCAAGACCGTTACATGATCCATCCAGAGAAGAAAATTTATATTAAATAAAAGCGATGCGATTAAGATCTTCAATGATTATGCTATCCCTCTCTATGAAGATAATGTTCATTTCAAAGATGTAGCAAAAGCATTGGTAGAGAAGATCTTCAAGAAAAATAAACTAGCTTATGACTTAACTGAGAAAATCAAGAAAAGGTTGAACAAGCAATGGGAAGGAAAATACACCAACCTCAAAAGATTCAAGCCAAGTAATCATTTGTATAACTTTATAGTTGATTCCTTGGATACAGGAACAATCGAGGCTGGAAAAGCTATCCTAAAGTTCTATAGAAGGACCAGAGGGAATACAGAAGGAGCCGGGTTGAAAAAGTAGCGAATCTATCTAATTTTTAGAGGAAAATCAATGACAATGAAATCTAAAGACATATCTAACCCTATCAACAAGAAGAACACGTAAGTACTATCTATCACCTACAGTCGGTCTCTCCCTAAAATTAAAAAGGAAGAAATGAAGCAGAACAATAACAAGGCAAAAACTGATGAATTCAAAATTGAAGATATTTCAAAGTTCCTAGAGGAAGGTGACACAGATGAGGTCAAAAAGGACACTTATTTTAACAAATATCGGGAATTAATGAATGAAAAGAATATTGCATATGATAGAGACATGTAAGTTCAGATGTCTTTACCTCTCTAGGATTATTCATAACACAGAAATAGCCAAGTACATCCAACCGTTTGATCATATTTAGCAACCAATTTACATGGTTCAGAGACCCTAATTTTAGAATTGAAGACACTTCTAGCGAAGAGGAAAGGTATTCACCCAGTGGTTATATTTAGCCCACCAACAAGAAGGCGTACTAGCAAGGACAGAAGAAAGGAGTCCAGGAAGTTTAATTATTGCAACACTCCGACTCTGAGGAAAAGATCTCAGGGGAAATTTGAGTAAGTTTTCCCACAATTCATCCTCTAGCTTATCCAAACTTGATGCCAGACCTAAGAACCTAGGTCAGTTACGACTAGAGAAAGGGAAAGAGTTCAGAGAGCACAATATTCTTTTGAAAGAAACCAAACTTCAAAGTCCTAAACACTCAGACTTGCATTCTAGAAGGCAGAAAAATTTGAAGAAAACATAGATGAATAATAACATCACAATTTCAATAAAAAGTAGTACTTGGGGTTTTGGGGTTTTGGGGTTTTGGGGTTTTGGGGTTTTGGGGTTTTGGGG